CACTCTTATTCCCAAACGGTAATCTGTGCATCAAGTAATAAACTACATTCTCAATAAATATTATTACTGAACTGACACAAGTGTAACATGAAATTTTCGACTTCAAGGAAATATTTCCTCCCCTAAGGGATCAATTTTGAAACATGGATGTTGGAGAATTATGTATGAAGTCTTGCTTCATCAAAGCTGCAAAAACCTTTGAATTACATGTGATACATATTCATATATTAGGGATGTAGCAAAAAGAAGTATGGTTGAGATATAAAAATAGAAATGTGTCTTATTAGTGTAATCTAAGCTTTTTAAGCAGTTAAAGTATAAAGAGTTAGGGGAGATGCATGCTCTCTCCTTCATGCATGCCAGTTAAAGCAGAGAGAGCTGACCATTGTCTCTGTACCTTCAGGATGGCCGGATCTGCAGGATCGGGTTTTCCGTGCAGCCCGATCGCCTTGAGCTGGGCAAACCAGACGCCAGTGACGGGTGAGATTTGGGAATCCCTCCCTGTTTCGGAAATGTACCCTTTATCGTAGCACAGTTAGGCCAAAGCCTGGTGCTGTGTTTAGGGGTCCCTGCCATAAAGTGTCTCTTCTCCTCAGCATTGATTGTCTTTCTCCTGATCCACCCGAGACTGGAAGAGTGGCAAAAGAATGTTGCCGCACAATAATTAGCAGTTTATTGGTTTTAGAAAAAAGTTAAAAGTTGGAAAATATGAATCTTGTGCATGTTATTTAAGGTATTTTTTTTTTTAAGATTTATTGAAGTGCTTTGAATTGTAATCACAACAACCTCTAAACTGAGGGATAGAAACAGCCCCGTCTTAAATGACAGCAGTTTGAACTGTTCCAGGGACTGCTGGAGGAGCAGGATAGCAAAGCGCAGGTATAAACTGCTTTTGGTAACACCTGGAATGGATCAAACTGCAATGAATTAATGAGGAGTGTTATTGCCGTATCTGCAGTTATGGAGGTGTATTTTTTTATTATATCAACATTATGTTCACGAGCAGCACTGCAGACTGTTGATGATGCAGGCAGTGCTTATGACAGATCCGTTCTGTTTGAGCTTTGAAGAAGCCATCTGTCACATTTTTGATCATACTGAGCTATGTCTGACAGGCATAATTAGCCAGGTTGGGGAGCAGACTTATTCCTGAGTAAGTCAAGCCTTTACGGTTTTCCATGTGTAGGAATACGGAGTGACTCAGTTACAACACCATGGCCTCATACCAACATGCCACAGCAGCAAATACTTCAGCCCTTTTAGTGTCAGTTTGGTAAATAAACAGATGTAGTCACCCTTTAGTTATCTGTGTTCATTCTTTTGAGACTCACAATTGCACAGTTCTATCAAATTTTCACTAGCATATTCTTGAATATGAACAGACAAATCTTTGCAATGCATGTCTATGGAAGTACCGTTTTTTATTGGCTAGATAATTGCAGACGGTTTGGTAGATTTACTCACTTCACATTAGTAACTCAGGTCTTGATGTAGTCAGTGTTGCAAACGAGTGCATTTCATGTTCAGCTTGTTCTGGCAGACAGCAGGTGCCCAGCTAACCAAAGGAGACCCACCAGCTCAAACCTCTTTGCTCAATATTAAGGCCCCATGGCAGCCCACAAACACAGTTTGCAGTTGCTTGGTTAGGATTCAATACTAAATGGAAGAGCGCAAAAAAATCACCACCCTGTTGAAAACGGTTTGTGCCAAAAATGGCCACTGTTAATGACACCCCATATTTGCTTTATGATGAAGCTTTAAGATGCTTTGCTTGTTGGATGTGGTATGTTCCTGGACCATGTGTATGGCAAACTGGTTCCATTTCACTCTGCAGCTTTGTATTCAGTTTTCTGAGGCTAAATTCCTTTAGCTGTTGCTAGGTTTTATGTAGGCAGAGAACATTCAATTATGTTCTTTCATTGACACCTCAAACATCTTGCCAGCAGAAGGAGAGGGGGAGTCATTCAAACTGTGGGAGAAAGGATATAAGATGTGTAACTTTTTATAGTTTTTAGCATGCATTAAATTTGGTCTGAAAAAGACCGCTGTATGGCATTACTGGGGAAGTGTTTTCCGTACAACTCATGGATTTTTTTTTTGTATAGGGACAGGATAAAATAAGATGAATTTTCCAAAAGAAAATGAGATGGTTTCAGATGTTAATGCAGTCAGCAGCATTGTGGGTAGACTAAAAGGCTATAGAAATGAGCACTGCGGGCTGTCACATGGCACTCAGACAACCGACTGCATCAAACTGCCAGAACGCCTCTAAACGCTGCAGGAGTGTATGCATGGAGCAGTGTAGACCGTTGAGAGTCCTGCCCTTTCCTGTCCTGTATGCACCGGTATGTGGGTAGACCTCATTTTTCATGGTGTAAAACCTTACTCACTTTGTAATCGCACAATGAAGACCCACCCCATTCAGATAACAAAGTCAGATGTGTTGTTTTTTTACCCTCAAGAAAGACAAACGTGAAGAAAAACTCCCATGCAAAGTCTTCCAGGTCTTATTTGGCTGCTTATCTTAAGTGGTCTTTGTGGATGACCTTAAATGCATAGCTTGCATTTTTCCCACATTGTAAATCCATTTTGGTCAGTGTTGTTTGGCGGCTCTGTTGACATTCCTGCTCCCATCCGGCTTGCAGGGCCAGTCTTTCGTTGTCAGTGGCTGTCAGACAGTGCGATGTGGTGATTGACACTGCTGTGGGTTGCTGGGAGCTGACAGGCGTACAATCTGTCATTTTTCTTGCTTCTAGTTTTCTTTTTCCAGTGATAGCGATGACAACTTTTATTGCTTTTCTCATTGTGTTAACAAGCGCAGTCAGTCATTTCCAATGAGTTTCACTTGGTACGATAATATAATTACACTAATATACCCAGTGTAGAAATTATATACTGTGTTGTACTGCAAAGTCATCAGACATGTGTTATTTCCATAAAAGTCAAGTAAGGAAGACACAATCTTCATCTTTAAGGTAGTATTCTCTTATACTTTTCTATGTGTATTGCTGTCTTTTTGTTTTGCAGTGCAAGTTGCTTTAAATGAGAAAGTTAATTGCTAGATTGTCTGTCTTCTGTTTTCCTGTGTTAAGTTGACAATCGTGAAAATCATTAAATTAATTCAGATTGGTTATCAGCCTTGTCTGTCATTCTGTAAGCACAAAATGCCTTTTATTTTCTCCCTTTAAATGGCCAGCAGTATGTCATTTTATAAATTGAAGTAATGCAGTGGGTCAAAATTTTCACCATCTCCAGACCCTTCACTCAAATCACCCAACGTCTAGAATTTGGCCATAGTTACATGCACTGTAGTCAAATCTTAAACGACAACCTTGAGATCAGGGAGAATTTGCAGGCCTCGTTCCTGATAAAAGAGGAATCTGTTGCAGCCGATTCCAGTTCCCAAGGGTGTTGCCCTCTAGTCTCCAACACAACAGGACACAAGGGCCGTGTGCAGTGACCCCTCTTGGGGCCGTAGGGTTTGTAACTGCTGTCCCATCTTTTGCTTTCAGTTCAAAGTTGAGCAGTGGTTCAGGGACAGGAAGGACTTCCAGGCCAGGCAGGACTAGTGATCCTCCCTGGGTCCTGTCTGGCTCTGACACTCTGGGCAGACTGGCAGGCAACACCCTTGGGTAAGTTTGGGCAGGGTCGCAGTAACTTAGGCCTCTGTTAAAGCGTCAGCCTTCAGGCCGCTTCACACTACCAAATCCACTGCTGTCACAGACTGCGGGGGCTCTGCTTTGGCCGTATTTAAATCATAGACAGAAATCAATTTCCCTGGTAAAATAAACCCGTGTCGACGGGCAGAATTGATGAGATTGGAGAGTTAATTGATAAAGTCCCCCCTGGCTTTTTTTTTTTTTTTACCAAAAAACCTTTGTCTGTGTAGCACCACGAACCAGTCAAAGGATAGGTACACCCCTGAAGGTTGTTATAGAAACCAAAAGCCTTTTCTGTTCCTATAGTACACCATTCCCCCCTCAACTACCATTTCTCTCAACCAAAGCTTACAGCAGTATAGGCTTCTAAACACAGGGATTAATATTTCTTCTGTCAGTGGGCGGGAAGTAAATTATCCGTCTTGAATACATTTCAGCACAGCTGTTTGCCAAATGTGGTCCTGGAGATGTGTGCTGTGCTTTGTCCTCTCCCCCACCCCCTTTTCCATTACCCAGCTACACTCAAAGCCGTTGTTTCTGAAGCCCAAGGTATTTGGTAATTGCCGGTTTTGGAGAGGGGTGCTGTTGAAAGGCGCGGTGCTGCTATTCTGCCCGTAGTGGTCGGGAACCCAGGGTGCGTTCCCAGAATGCAGCTCTGCTCAAGAGTGCGTGCCCCCCCTGATCTCTGGGCCTCTTTTTTATGATAGGAGTCGCTGGAGCGCTGGAGTGAATGGAGGAGGAGGAGGCGGTAGCAGCGGAGGAGGAGGTGGAGCAGGAGGGGGAGGTGGAGCAGGTGGAGGCAGTGGTGGCGGAGGCGCAGGTGGAGGAGGAGGAGGTGGAGGGGGGAGGTCGTCCGCCGCAGCGCGTGACTCCAGGAGGCAGACCAGGGTGATCCGCACAGGCAGGGAGAGGGGGTCAGGACTCCTTGGCAGCCAGCCCCAGCCGGTCATACCAGCCTCCGTCATCCCCGAGGAGCTGATCTCTCAGGTCAGCCCTGCTCACACGCCCATACACACTCACACACCTGTGCACACACACACACACACACCCATACACATACCTCACAGCCACAGATCACACTCATCACAAATGTACACATGCACACTAATAAATGTGCACGTGCATACCACACACATCTGTGCAAGCATACACGTGTGCACACGCCTCACAGCGGAAGATACTCATTGCAAACATTATATTACAGTCATTTAGTTGATGCTTCTATCCAAAAAAAAAAATCAGCTTACAGTTGATTATGCTAACCAAGCGACAGTCCCCCCTGGGAGCAATGTAGGGTTAAGGGCCTTGATCAGGGGCCCAACAGCAATGGTGTTCTTGCTGTGGCTAGACTGGGGCTTGAACCAGCAGCCTCAGGGGTCCCAGTCATGTACCATAGCCACTAGGCTACAAGCTTCCCCCACACACTAAAACAACCATGCACACACATACCACATGCACACACAAATGGCAGTCTAGTGGCATGATTTGGGGGGCACAAGGTAACTGAGGGCTGCAGAAGACCGTTAGTGATTGCGTCTCTGGTCGTGGCTCCGCTCCAGGCTCAGGTGGTTCTTCAGGGGAAATCCAGGAGCGTCATCATCCGGGAGCTCCAGCGCACAAACCTGGACGTCAACCTGGCCGTCAACAACCTGCTGAGCAGGGACGACGAGGACGGCGACGACGGGGATGACACGGCCAGCGAGTCCTACCTCCCCGGAGGTGAGCGTGGGCTGAGGCTGCGGCCAGCCTCTCAGTGCCTCTGTCTGTCTCTCCTGTCTCTTCAGGGCCCGTGGTACATATGAGAAATACCATAGAGATTCCCTACTGCAATTATTTAATTCCTTAAATATACCAGCTTTTGCAGAAGAGGTCTTATTTCATTTCATGAAAATTTTTTTTTTTTTTAATAGCTAAATAGCTAAGAGATTTACACTAATGTAGTTGCTCAGTTAGCATTCCTGACCAAGTTCCCTTGGGTGTAAGGACTAAGCATTTCTCTTAAAAAGTTCTCATTTATTTTGAGGCATCCTAAACATGGTGTACCTGCCTAAGTCAGCACCTCTCACATGAAGGACTAGTCCGTCTAAAGGAGTGGCTTAAGGTGCATGCATACCCTCAGACTAACTCATGCTTCATATGACCACATCTGACAGTTTTTTCCGCTTGGTTGGCCATTCTCAGTCTTTTCTGAACTAGCTGAACTCAAGGGCGGTGTGAAGAGTTTCCTGTCTTGTGGAGGGGTGGGAGTTGTTGGAGATAAAAACGAGTGTAATATTCACTTTTTCGGTTTTTGTTTAATTCGTTATTTTGGAACACAGGAATAAAAACAGTTTTAACAGTAGCCAGGTTCAGTGAAATGTGTAAACTTAGTGCTACCACATGTTCTGGGATGTTGTGGTGTTTTATACACTCCCATTGCCTGTTAGAGGTGGGCATGGGTAAAGTTATGTGGTGTAACATTTATATTTATGGAATCTTCTACCTGAAGATTGCTAGCTTGTACATTAGCTGATTTTGATAGCTTTGTATGTGTGGTTTAGAAACTTAGAGTCAGATCCCACAGGCTCTGCGATCTTGAATTTACAAATTTTTATGTGTTTTTGATTTTGCAATTTGAAGACTCAAACAGATACATGATACAAAACTCTATCAGAATGTTTTCCCTTAAAGCAATCTATAGTAAGCTCTAAAAACAGTAGAAATTTTGGCTGCCTTCCATGTCTGTAGACTTTGAATAGTGTTGTAGTAATATGTTTGTGAATATGACATATTTTTTGTGTCATATTCAGAGGACTTGATGTCTCTGCTGGATGCTGACATCCACTCCGCCCACCCCAGCGTCATCATCGACGCCGACGCCATGTTCTCTGAGGACATCAGCTATTTTGGATACCCCTCCTTCCGCCGTTCCTCCCTGTCCCGGCTGGGCTCGTCTCGAGGTAGGCCCCCCCACCCTCTGTATGTACACATCTTCCTGTTTCCTGTGAACAACTGTTCCCTGGACCTGCTCTATGTACCTTACCAACTGCCATTTAGAGTCAGTGACCGCATCCTCCACCGTCAGGATGCACTTCTCACCTGCCTTTTCAGGAAGTAGAAATGGGCCAGACTGGTCTTTCCACTGTCTATGTCACTCACCACCTAGACATAAATAACCTGCTGCTTTTCCTCAATCGTTTAAGACAAATATGGTAACAGTATGCTCAGACGTCTTGTAAGATGGACTTGGCATTGATTGAGTATGTATTATAAGCTCTTATCAGTCACATAAATTCCAGACTTGATACGATTAGGATGATAATTAATATTTTTAATGGGGATCATAACTAGTCCATTTATTTGCAGCCATGAAGGTAAATGGTTGAGGGTTTTTTCCTCTTTTAGTATATGGGGTATATTGGTGCAGGCAGCTTGCAGAGAGTGGTGCATTGTGGGTGTTTTTGTGTGAGTGAGTGTGGTGCCTGCAGTGAGCCCTCTGTGTGGAAGCCCTAGGAAATCCTTAGCTTTTAGGATGAGGGGGTTTAGTCTTATCAGAAACCCTCCACTGCACCTTACACCAGAAAACTCCTCAAACCTCCCTGTGTGGCATGCTTCTGCTTCTGTCACATCCTTGTGATTCAGTCTGTGGTTGTAGACATCATTATTTTCCCCTACTGTAGAAACTCTGAGGTATGAACTTACTTGGAATGGATGTTTGTTCAGAACTCTGAAATGTTCATTACTTTGGATGCCGTGTGAAATTATACCAGTTTTAATAACTGTGAACCTGTCTTGATTGAAACAAGATTATTGCAAGAGTTTACATGATAGCAGCTTCATTTCTTGAACAACACACTAGAAAATGCATTCGCTCTTTCCTGTGGTGCATTTTTCCTCTTTCAGATTGAGTAATTTTGTAAATTTTTCCCCCTTAACAATAATGACTAAAAAAAAACAACATAGCTTTATGTAAATTGCTTTTATTTGTTACATCAGGGAAACCAGTGAGCTTGATCAGGCATAAGTGTTTGGTTTCATTTGTGTACGGTTAACTGGTCAGTTTGTAGGCTGAGGTTCATATCTCTGAGGTCCTCCTGTGTGTAAAGTCTTGTAAAGTACATTTTCTGTGAAGGGTCTTTCCCAGAGAGTGGCTTACTTTTATCCCACTGGTGTGACCCCATTGCATACCAGTTCTCCTTCTTCCCTTAGAGCGCGACTCGGAGCTGTTGCGCGAGCGTGAGTCTGTGTTGAGGTTGCGTGAGCGGAGGTGGCTCGACGGCGCCTCTTTTGACGCAGAGCGCGGCTCCAGCAGCAGGGATGGCGAGCCGGGCCTGGACAGGAAGTGCGCCCCGGTCCAGAGTCCAGTCTGCCTGGGGGAAGAGCTGCAGTGGTGGCCAGACAAGGTCAGCAGGCAGGGCTCCGGAGAATGTGTGTGTGTGTGTGTGTGTGTGTGTGTGTGTGTGTGTGTGTGTGTGTGCTCGCGCATGTGTGTGTGTCCATGTATATGTGCATGTGTGTGTGACTATGTGTCTGTGTGTGCGCTAACCGTACACCATGTATGTCAGTGTGCATGCCAGTGAATTCCAATCAGGTCATCTATGATTTGCGTAACAGTTTTTGATATCAAAAATTGTTTTTAGATAAGCTGTGCTGGAGCGCTGTCTCATATGTGTAATAAGGGTATGGCCATCATCAACACTTAAAGTATTTCTGTTAACCAGAATCTTAGTCATTTACATTTCCTTATTTTTGGTCCACATTTTGTTAAAAGGACAGAGCTCACAGGCAGGACTCCACACTGAAGGGCTCATTCACAGAGGGATGATAAATTCATCACCACATGAAAACGTCTGGGATTCGGTTCAGAGCAGGAACTTCACTTCCCATTAATAGCTGCAAGACTCTCATCTCCCTGTGTTGTGGCTATTTATGGAAGTGCGAACCTTACCAAATTCCACCTTATTCATCCTTTGGTAAATACATTATGTCTCCGGCCGGGGGTAAATGTTACCTAGTGTGCTATTTTCACAGATGAGGTATTAAATTCTCCTATGTCTGATGTGTAAGAGGCTGCCAGATGTAGACTGAGGAGAGACAGGCCAGTTTTGCCTTGAATGATGGCCAGGGCAGGGCACATGACCAGAGCAGAGCAGGAAAAAGGTGGTTTTAAAAGCAATTTCCAGCTCCTCAGAGGCCACAGCGGGATATTGGATTACACTCAAAGAGCCAGGGAGCTCGGTCTCCCTTAAAGCCCTCCTTTAGTCAGTCAGCAGAAGTGTGAGCCTTGGCCGGGACTTTGCAGGTTTAAGCCTTCGCTATGTCATCGGCCAACTATGACCTTGGTGGAATAAATTTGGCTTCTTGCTTCGGGTTGGACAGGTTTAAGTTTGCCAGGGTTCCTCGGGTTACCTCTACATTAACTCCTACCAGACATGCGGTGCATAGGCACGGATTTGTGCTAGCCGTGCTGCTGTAAGCCGAGTGGCCTGGAGTGTGTAACATACCCATTGGTCAGAGGACTGCACACTCCATAGATGCTGCGCTCTTTGTGTCGGTGTGGAGGCCACAAGAAGCCAAATGATTTGTTTAAAAAAAAGAAGCAAAGAACCTGAAAACTTTTACAGCCTCTTCCTGTTACTTTTATTCACCACAGTGGTTCATCCCTATCCTGCAGAATCACTGCAGTGGCGGTATGGAGTAGCGGTTTAGCACGCTGCAGTGGCAGTATGGAGTGGCAGTTTAGCGCACTGCAGTGACGGTATGGTGTAGCTGTTTAGCACGCTGCAGTGACAGTATAGAGTAGCGGTTTAGCACACCGCAGTGACAGTATAGAGTAGCAGTTTAGTGCACTGCAATGACGGTATAGAATAGCAGTTTAGCACACTGCAGTGACAGTATTGAGTAGCGGTTTTGCACGCTGCAGTGATGGTATGGAGTAGCAGTTTAGCACACTGCAGTGACAGTATAGAGTAGCACACCAGCAGTGGTAACTTGGCTAATGCCTGATGTATCAACCAGATGTGTTGGTTCTCAACAGTCTGCGCTGTGTATCCACTGATTTTTGAAGTTGAAAATTTGAAGGCCATTTGTTTCAATGCTATCAGAGGAATGAGAAAACAAAATTCTCTTTTGCCCATATGCTGAATTTTCAAAGCATGTTTGAGATGGATTTTTCTTAATCTCTACATTAAGTGTTTTGTTTGAGGTATTTGTAGGTATTGTTTTTCATTTTTCTGTCTCCTTCCTTTGGTTCCTGCAGGATGGCACTAAGTTTGTGAGCATCGGAGCTCTTTATTCTGAGCTGGTGGCCATCAGTTCCAAAGGAGAGCTGTACCAGTGGAAATGGAATGAGCCAGAACCCTACAGAAACGCACAGGTAGGGAGCCCTACAGAAACACACAGGTAGGGTATGGCAAATGAGCCGGAAACCTGTAGA